ACACTGAGATATCAAAAGAGCCAAAGTTCAGTGCTATTAAAAGTCGTCTACACTGTGGAGTGTTCTAATCTTTCATCATCATCATCAGAAACCACTTCAGCCCTTAAGAGCCGTGGGGAGGTATCATTTGCGATCCAGTGCACGCTTGCTGCCACTGGCTATTGTCATGCCGTGAAGGAGTAGGGTGTCTTTAATGTTGTCGATCCGTATTTCCGCGGCCTTAAATGTTGAAAAACAAATTAGTAAATCCTTCAAGAAATAAGCGAAAATAGTCAACTGATAAGAGGGAATAGACGCAGGTAGTCACGGTTTGTAAACATGTTATCAGGAGAAACGATCTTGAAAACGTATTTTTACTAGAAGGATGACACCAAAGTAACAAGTGATAGACAAAGAGCTAACACCGGATGGCTGGGTTACATGACATAGGCGGGACAAGAACACAGGCCTGATCTATAATTTATTTGATCGCGTGAAATGAAGAAATATCACCGCACAGGAATATCTACATAACTAAGAAAATATGGGAGGGCCTTAAGGTTCCATCTTCCGGCGTGCCTTGACCATCTGTGCTTTTCGTCATGGCACATGATAATGATGATGCACATTTCCGCACATATTTTCGACATGATTAAACTGAGAAAGAGAGGCATCATTTCATTCTGTAGTATGGCCACAACCGCGCTGCTTTTTGACTAGCAAACATGTCAAAAAACCAGTTGCAGAATAAATATCTTTGTTGTCGACTTTCATCTTCTTGCCTCCTGCTGATCTTCTTTGGCGGCGACGGGACGCTTCAGACTGGATACCAGCACCGCAAACATAATATTGAATGAAGCACGCACAGAATCCTTTTCTGCCGCGCGGGGAGATGAATTCTACGTGGCTGCCATCTGTTTACTGGCATGTCTGTCGCCCGGTGTCACAAGGAAGACCCGAGTTTGTAAACAAGAGCTTTGCTTGGACTCTTCAAAACCCAGCATTGCCAATTTCAGAGCAAATACTAAGTCGGCTAACACATGTATTCACACTTTAACAGATGCTATCTGTAGACATTTGGGGGGGGGGGAGGGGGGGGGTAGTACTGTAGCTTTGTGTAGTACAACCCCTTTCCCTGCCTTCCGGTGAATTGGGAATTTAGCGGTATATAGACGTATATTTTATATACCAGTCGGCACTCGTTAGGGGATGGTGATCAACATACGCCGACCGCCTTTACTTCCCAGGTCTATGCCTGTCAGTTATTTAAACTGGGTCGAACTGGAAGTCAAGGTCGTTTTTTAAAAAAAAGTTCGGCCCCCACCAGGACTTGAACCCACGACTTTCAGATCCACAGACGAGCGTCTAGTTGTTATACTGCGCCTGCACTCACGTGTAATATGGTGCTCTCTATTTCCAAAACAAAACCAAAAAAAAAAAAAAAAAAAACAAGACCTCGCTTGATGCTATTCACATTATTATTACAAAATGCACATATTCATTCAGTCATTCAGTCATTCATTCGACTGAAAAGAAATTGAAACAGCTTATTTACCCCCCCCCCCCCCTCTCCTCCCTACCCCCACAACACATAAAAAATATGACACCCCCCCCCCCCCCCCCCCAAATATATTTTAAGTTGAAAATTTGTGTAACGAAAGTAAGTTCCCCGCCCCCTTTTTTTAAATCCTTATCCCCATATATATAAAAGTTCTCTTTGGAATTTTGTTTTGTACATAAACGTCCAATTACAACATGAGATTATCACCCGGATATTGACAAAAGAACAGAAAAGAAAACTAACCACCTGTGAGATGAGATGTTTGAGAATGGCTGTAAATAAACCCAGGAGAGATCGAGTGAGAAACGACGTGATCACAAGAATTGTTGGAACAACATCAATCGTCAAATTTATTGACAAACAAAGAATGAAATGGTTTGGCCATGTAATAAGAATGAAACAAAACGATGCCAAGACCGTACATCCTGAAAATTGAAACACCAAGAGGCTGCGGAAGACCAAGAAGAATCTGGATTAAAGGAGTCACTGACTCCTTGAGACTGTATAACATCACGACATATCAAGCGACCGAGCACGCCCTGGCTCAGCTGCGGAACGTTTGATGAACAGCGACGCCTAGCGGCATAAGCAGATATTGACGAAAGGAAGAAGAAGAGATTATAAGAAATGCGGCGGGAAAAAAACGAGAAGAGACAGTCACCAGTGAATAACTAAGAACAACGGTAGACAGGGTGTATGTTTCCACAGAAGATCGAAGAACCGAATGGTTTGGCCATCTAGTCAGAATGGAACAAAATCAGCCAGCAGCTAGAGCTTAATACATGAGAACAGAGTCACGAAACGGACGAAAAAAGAGACGGACCAAGAAAGAGATGGACCAAGAAAGAGATGGACCAAGAAAGAGATGGACCAAGAAAGAAACGGACCAAGAAAGAGACGGACCAAGAAAGAGACGGACCAAGAAAGAGACGGACCAAGAAAGAGATGGACCAAGAAAGAGACGGACCAAGAAAGAGACGGACCAAAAAAGAGACGGATTAAGAAAGAGATGGACCAAGAAAGAGGCGGACCAAGAAACGGACCAAGAAAGGGACAGACCAAAAAAGAGACGGACCAAGAAAGAGATGGACCAAGAAAGAGATGGACCAAGAAAGAGACGGACCAAGAAAGAGACGGACCAAGAAAGAGACGGACCAAGAAAGTGACGGACCAAGAAAGAGACGGACCAAGAAATAGATGGACCAAGAAAGAGACGGATCAAGAAAGAGACGGATCAAGAAAGAGACGGACCAAGAAAGAGACGGACCAAGAAAGAGACGGACCAGGAAAGAGACAAACCAAGACAGAGACTGACCAAGAAAGAGACGGACCAAGAAAGAGACGGACCAAGAAAGAGACGGACCGAGAAAGAGTCGGACCAAGAAAGAGATGGACCAAGAAAGAGACGGACCAAGAAAGAGACGGACCAAGAAAGAGACGGCCCAAGAAAGAGACAGACCAAGAAAGAGATGGACCAAGAAAGAGACGGACCAAGAAAGAGATGGACCAAGAAAGAGATGGACCAAGAAAGAGATGGACCAAGAAAGAGACGACCAAGAAAGAGATGGACCAAGAAAGAGACGGACCAAGAAAGAGACGGACCAAGAAAGAGATGGACCAAGAAAGAGATGGACCAAGAAAGAGACGGACCAAGAAAGAGATGGACCAAGAAAGAGACGGACCAAGAAAGAGATGGTGGAGCGAGTAGAATAGACACTATAAAAACGCAGTATAACATCAACACAAGCTACGCAACTAGCAAAAGAAAGCAACAGCACAAAACTTTTTCTGCACGCTGTATGACACACAGCCACCCCCCCCCCTCCCTACCCCACCCCACCCCACCCCCAAGTTTATTTTTTCATTAAATATATTAATATTTTCTTTGCGATTCAAAACATTAATTTTATTAGTTCATAAAGAAAGCCTCATAAGCTTCAGCTAGGGATTAACACCACCCCCCCCCCCCCAAACTTCCAATGTTTGCGCCCCTTGTCCAGGCGGAAAAAGTAACCCTTGAAGCATCTCGTGTTTTGTTTACAATTCAAAGGAAACCTGTTTACATCCCTTGATGTCTGCATAAATCTAGTTTTATACGCTTTTTTTTTCGTCTTCTTTTGTCTGAAGGATGAATACCTATATTTGCAGACACTGTGTGTGTGTGTGTGTGTGTGTGTGTGTGTGTGTGTGTGCGTGCGCGCATCTTGCGTGTGGTGTGTGTGTGTTGTTTGGCGGCGTTTGATTAAGCAAATTGCATATGAAAACTTGTGTGGCTCCAACACGTCATAGAATTCATTGAATGGTTTAAGCACAAAAATTTGTTTGTTGACTGTAAATCCGAGAAACTGGGTGGCAGTTGGCAGTTTGTAAGTCTAAATTCACTAATAATATTCAAAAATTCGATCCTTAACAAATAATTAAACTGGTAGCGCTACATTGTGTGCGGTTTAAGAATTATGCCACATTATGTATTCTTTGTTGTCCCTTTGTGAGACGCAATTTTTCGTTATTTGACTCCCCACCCTGGCTTTTGCCGGTGGCCCTAGATATAGCTGGGCCACAAATGTGGCCGTAACGGCTGAAAGGGGTTTCTGGGACCTTTCCACCGGTGATCCTCATCTGCATGGTGGCACTTTGTGTCATCGGGTGTTTATCGCTTGTGTGATGTCCTGATGGGATACAACAAGCAAACAAGCAATTATGCCACATACTTCTGTACCGTATAGACCAGGACAGGCCAAGCGATTCTGACTTCATCTGTCATTCAATTTGATGTCAGAGTGACTTTAGGACAAAAAGTCGTGTGCTTTCTTTGGACGAAAATACACCCACACGCACGTGCGCATGCGCGCGCACTCACACACACACACACACACACATTGAATCTTTGAGTTATTTATTAAGCTATGGGCGATTCGCTGATGTTTGTTTGATCTGTTTCTTTTTCCTATTGTGATTTATGTATCTTTAGAATTTTTTTTTACCCTGAGGTGATTTATTGATCTTTGGATGGTTTATTTGTCCGTGGGTGATTAATTGATGTCTGGGTGCTGGATCATTGGTGTTTGTATGATCTGTTTTTATTGTTTTGTGATTTATGTGTGATTTACTGATATTTGATGATTTATTTATCTCGTTTTATTGGTCTGTGGGTGATGTATTGATCTTTGGGTGATTTTTTATATCTTGTAGTGAGTAGTTATTTATCGCTGGGGATTTACTGATCTTATGTGATTTTTTATCTGTTGGTAATTTATTTATATCTGGGTGCGGGGGGAGGGGGAATTATCATTGGATGATTTATTGATCTTGGGTGATTTATCAATCTCAAGTTGAGTTATTGATCTATGTGTCATTTGTTGATCTTTATTTGATTTGTTGATCTTTATGTGATTTGTTGATCTTTATGTGATTTGTTGATCTTTATGTGATTTTAAAATCTGTGAGTGATTATCTCCAGGTGCAGAAGAGGGAACATATATTTGAGACACAGAAAAGGTTGGAGGAACAACTGAGACAAGAGGAGGATGAAATGTTCAGGTAGTGTGGAGTTCCTTTGTCGCTTGTGAACAATCAACACTACAGTTATGTTGAATATTACTTGGAAGTTGGTTCCAACATTAAATATTTAACAGTTCAGGGGCGTGGGGGTTGTTGTGGCGGGTTGGTGATGTGGGGAGAGGGTGGATTGATTGTGTGTGTGTGGGGGGGGGGTGGGGGGGGGGGGGCTGACGCGATTACCAAGTGGTCAGTATTTAATCTCCTTTGATATGAGAACAGTATTTATCATTGATCAGTTTTTATTGTTGACCTGTTCAAAAATCAGCACCAAGAAATGTTCTGGGTAATGAAAGAGATCAGCATAATATTTATTTCACTCGCCGTGAGGGTTCCATTTTTATATTGTCTTTTTTGACTGCCTCCACCCATCTCTTTCTTGGTCAGCCTCTTGACTTGTAAACCTGCGGTTCTTATGTAGTATGCACTAGATGATGGGTGGTTATGTTCCATTTTAATCAGATGACCAAACAGTTTGTGTTTTTGATGTTCTGTGAAATCATTAACCGGTTCCGTAAAACAAGACTGTAAGAAAGGCAAATTAATTAGGAATAAAGCCAGCCAAGAACTTCATGCAGGGCACCAACTACGAATAGTAAAACATGCTGAACTGGTGTCCTCAGCCGCCACACAATGAGAAATTTGCCGAGAAGAAGATCTGAGCAGTTATGAGCTGAATGCTTTGCTGTATAGAGAAGATGATCTATCGACTAAAATTGTTCTTCAACTGAACTAGGCACCATTGCTTAGCTGCGCCAGATTTTCAACACCTACAGGTGTAATAGTGCTACAACTATATTTTATAAACCAGTCGGCACTCAGGGGGTGATGTGGTGTAGTTCGACGTTAGTCTCCCCAGAGTTGGTCATTTTTCATTCACAACTTTGTTGGGCTGGTCCAATTTTCTGAAGATTACGGGTGTGTCCCGCTCTGTTGTTTAGTTTCTGCTATTTTTTGCATTTACGTTTTCATTCTGAGCAAGAAAATGCCTGTGACATAGGTTGCAGCACTCTCTAGGGGGGTTGTGTGTTAGACCCAGTTTCTCCATGTTTTTGGAGTGTTAAAAGCACTGGTGTGCTGAAAAAGACAACAGGCTCAGGAAATACTAATCAGAAGTGTGTATATGGGGTCTGGGGAGACTAACATCAAACTAACCATTGGTGTGGTCAGCGTGTGGTCGCCTTTACTTCCCAAGACTTTACCTTGCATCCATCTAAAGCTGGGTCAGTTGAAACAGTCATGTTTCTTCATTCAGTAGTTTTTGCAAATAACATCATCCTTGCAGGGAATTTCGCGAGGAGAGGGAGAAGGAGGCCAAAGCCATCAATAAAGAGATTGAGTCAGAGTGGGAGCGACAGCTGAAAGAGCTGACACACAAATATGAACAAGTCATAGACAGAAAGAAAAAGAAGATAAAAGACACAGACAAAACGGTAACACTTTTATGTTTCGAGTCTGTGTATTTAGTGATGTGTTTCTGTTTGTATTTTATATTTGTATTTTATATTATTAGTATTATTTTCATATTATTATTTGTTACTGGTGTGCAGTGTTATTTTTGTCGTGATAACTTATTTTATCTAACTGTTAGATGTGCCAGCATTAACAGTCCCCAGCCACAATTGCAGCTGTCTGCTGATTGCAAGCAGTCAGTTACGAGAGCATTGCACCTGCACAACTGCATAACTACACACACCACGAAGATAATCTCTTATCTCATCCGCTTTGCAATCATGTTGTCATTCCTATCCCTATTCCCACCTCCACACATCCCCCCACACACACACACAACATGATATAAAAACAGATACACATATGTAACACAATTAACAGATAAACAAACAAAACAAACTATAGCTAACACAGTTGGGGTACAAACAAGTTTAAAACAAAACATAAAATAAAAGTGTGCCGGGGTCAATAGAGAAGTTGTCGGAAATTGTTGTTTACTGATTGTGTGGGACAGGACGCTGACCTTTAGGTGTGGGAGCCACAGGTGTCAGAATCTAAGACACGTGTGTGGAGAGATGGGGACTTGGTCTTCACAAATATTTATTTAACAGAAGACACATAATGAAAGGACAGAAGATGAAATGGAAAGAAAACAAACATTTTTATTGAATGTAAATGTTAAACTGGTTGGTGGGGTGGTGGGGGGGGGGGGAGGGAGAGTGGAGTAAAGTGGCAGTATACAACACGAGGGGAAAATGTGTGAGGGAGGAGGGGGGAGGGAGCGAACGGTGGTGCAAAGGCTAACAGGTTTGTATGTCAACCAGAGATGGTTTGCTCAAATCTCCTTCAAGTCAGGTTTTTTTTAACCCTATTTACCTGGACTCCCAAGTCCCTCCAGCTTAACGCTGGCACCCGGACATTATCTGGGAAGTAAAGGTGGCAGGAATGATACTGACCCGATTCTCCATCGAGTGTTGATATGTAAGAAAAGATGCCATATACAAAACAAGTACAAAATATTCAGTCCTACTTATGGCTTGAGAAGGAATCCTGTAGTTACATTTATAACACGAGTTACCTCTGCTTTCCACTCCTAGACATTAGTCTTGTTTCAAAACCTGAGTGTTGCATGCACCTCCGTTTTACAGATCTGGCCTATTTGTATGCAGACCCTTTGTTCCTTGTATGCAGACTGCTGGTTCCTTGCCTCACAGGCAGATGCGCTCTGACTTTTCAGAAAACTCCAGTTAATCGACTTTTATGATATGCTTGTAGGGGAGGCAGTTCTGGTTTTCTCCCACACTGGGACCCTGGAACCCACAAGGGAAGACACTGTCTGGCTGATCTCAAAGTTTCCCCAGTCTCAGCCTCTCCCAGGTGTCTTGTCTTCCTTGTCTGACATGTGTCTCAAGCTGTAGTGTCTTGTCCATGCCAGGATTTTCCAAATTTCATGGTCACACTAGTCACAGGGTCTCCCCGGTCTCATGACCTTCCCAGTTCCGTAACCTCCTTAGTCTCCAAAGAACTACCAAATCCTGTCTAAAGGAGACGCCAACCTGATGTGTGGGCAGTAACCTTTGACACGATTTAAGGCTAGGTTACACAAGAGTTCCTTTGAAAAAACTTGTAATGGTACGTTAATTGTCATACAATAAAACATAAAAACACATTTTTAAATAGCCATAGAGCATCATATTACTTAAATATGTGTTATAAACGGTTCTAGATGATGCCTATAGAGTTTGAGAATGAAAAGAAGGATCTGGCAGAGACAATGAAATCAAAGAAACAAAACATTAAGAAAACAATGACACTACGTCTGCGACAGAAAGAGCAAGAACAGACTGCCGAGTTGGTGAAGAAACAAAGCCAGGTTATGCTGGAAATGTTGGCCAAAGAACAAGAAGAGTTAAAAGCTGAACTGGCAAAAGAAATGGCTAAGGTGAGTTTTATTAACCTCATTTGCTGAACACAACTAGAACCACTTTTATGGTTCTGTCTAAACGCGGGTGTCTCTGATAGTTGTTACATGTTTGGGTCGTCTATAGTGAACATTGACTATTTGCTGTCAGTAAGTGAATTTATAGTGTAACCAGTTAAGTACCAGTATATTTAGCCGATACAGATATAGCCAACATATACCCAGTTGGGGCATTTGAATAACTAGCCAGATTTCTGAAGTATGATTCAGCTAAAAGCTGGCAACTCCATTGATTGTTTGGTACACATGGGTATTACCCCATTTCACATGATGTGTTATTTGGGACTAAATCAGTCAAGCTTATCTATAATATAATTTTACTGTCTACTTTATGTAGGTCGGCTCTGTGGCTAAATCGATGCGAATGCTTCGTAATGCCGGGGTGCCGGGTTCGATCTCAGCTGGGGACCTTGCGCCTTGCGTTGGTTTCGACAGTGGTATCAAGAAAGCCGACCGTCCAGGGCCAATGGCAAACTACTGGACGTAAATTTGCCTAGAAAACCACACAGCAGCCAGGGGCTGTTGGGGTTTGTTCTGCAACATCCTGAAAGGACACGCAACTAACCTAACTTTATGTAAATTAAGGTCTAAATTTTTTTTCTTGAATTGACTGCTTTATATCTGTGGGTTAAAGGTTAAATTTAAAAAAGGACCGACTACATTGCACCGTATTTTATCCTTTATCACTGGGTCTATCTCTGCAGAATGGCTTACCACCTGCCGAGAGTGTAATACAGTGAACGAACTCCGTAGCTCCGGCAACGATCCCCAGGGATCTCCGTAAAAACTGCACTCGTGAGCTGAACGGCGCAGCCGTGAAATGAACCCATGAACGGCTTGACCACTTTGCCACAGAGGACCCCCCCCCCCCCCACCCCCCAAAAAAATAATCCGCTGGGGCTTGAACCCAGGACCTTTGGCGGATGTGATAATTATTTTATTACGGAAACAGTAACAGTTTACCGTTTAAAGTCTATACGCGAGTCTAAGGTATAAGTCAATACATCTAGCTACATTGTTACACTAAAGGTTCTTCAGATCCACTAACAGTAACACAATGACACTGCTACACCAACAGTTTTCTAGCTACACTGCTACACCAACAGTCATCTAGCTACATTGTTAAACTAAAAGTGATTGCCTGTGTTCATTCTTCTAGGAACCAGTTTCAGCTGAAAATGGCGCCAACATCAGGCGAGATAAGGGAAACATTGATGAAGTATTGGAAATTCTCCCTTTGCCATCCGTGGCAGCTCCTCCCCCACCTAAAGTCCCTTCTTGTCGGAAAGAAGATTTGTTTCCGGACACCTCCGTGTTTCAGTCCATAGATGAGCAAGTCATCAAGGTAATCCATATACCATGTACACTTTTGTCTACCAATAAGCTTAGGTATTTGCTTTATTATCATCATCGTCTTTAACTATTCGGACACCTCTGTGTTTCAGTCTATAGATAAGCAAGTAATCAAGGTAATCCATTTACCATATTTTTTATATCCAGTATGCTTAGATAGTTACCTTATCATCATCATCAGCATCATCATCATCATCATCACCATCATCATCATCATCATCGTTAACGATGACTGTCTACATCAAGCATGCCAAACTGAGGATCCCCAAGGGTCCCATGTATCTGTTTTCACAAGAGCCACATACAATAGCTAATTCAAGTCATTTAATAGAAATTATTGCCTGCAAAGGGTCACCTGTTTGACATGCCTGGTCTAAATCAGGGTTCCACAACCTTTTGCACATCTGGGGCCACCAAAACAAGGGAAATTGTTTTCAGACCACCTGACAGCTAACTGAACAATGGAAACAATTTATTTAGCAGTTTACTTGTGTAATTCAATGACATTAACATAAAATTTTCAGCTAATGTGACATCTGCTGCTGGTTAGAGGTTGAACAATTTAATATATGTCGCTGGTATGAAGTGCTGAAATAACATCCATTTGATTTCTTTGTTTGGTTTTTATTATTGACATTAAATTAGTAATGCAGTGGATACCTTCCCACTGTGGAGTTCCCGGAAACAAAAAAGCTGATAAACTAGCTAAGGAAGGTGCAACTGAAGAACAACCTGACATACCAGTCTCTTATCAACAGAAGAAGAGAATGATCAAATCAATCAGAATGCCACCGAAACTGGCACAAGATAATTACCATATTATGGACAGACCAGAGCAAGTTATTATCCTTCGCCTTAGAACAGGGCACAATAGACTTCGCTCCCACATGTACAACAAATTTAAGATTGGCCAATCAGCCATGTGTACTTGTGGACTGGCACCTGAAACAACAGATCACATCCTTCAAGACTGTCCCAGATTCAACGCTTTCAGGCAAAACATTTGGACAAAAGAGACACTTGTGGAAGTCAAACTTTACGGGCCGCTTAGTGAATTACAAAAGACAGTGAAATTCATACAAGAGACGGCTTTGCAGATATAGATAATTTATTTCATGCGAACGAAAGAAGAAGAAGATTATTGACATGCCTGATAAAGTCTGTTCGTGCAAACAGGAAGTTCTTGGATTGTTAATCCTACAGAGTGGAAGAGAAAAAAACCCAACCCTACTTCATTATATGAGTAAGCATATTTTTTTAGGTGGCCCACCTGGACTTTTCAACATGGCCAACCAATAGGCCGCAGCCCACGGGTTAAAGAACACTGGTCTACATGATTAATTAGATTTTTTAGCTGGCCCACCTGGACTTTTCCATGGCCAACCAATGGGTCACAGCCCAGGGGTTAAAAAACACTGTTCTACATGATTAAGCAGATTTTTTAGCTGGCCCACCTGGACTTTTCCATGGCCAACCAATGGGTCGCAGCCCAGGGTTTGAAGAACACTGATCTACATAGTCCAAGTTAGAGGTCATCGATCCCCTGCAAGTATTCTCCTGCCCCTTCACTGCCGTGACATAACTGGTGCCTGTTCTTCCCCTCTAGGCTATTACATGAAGGTGTGAACACGCTTGTGGCTCAAAGAGTGGCATCCTAATTAGGGCGCCCATAAAGGTTATGTCAAGTTCTACTTTGCGGAACCCTGCTGACCAGTGTGATTAAGAAATGCTGTGATGGTCAACACATGATAGTACACAATTGGTTTCCTATTATTTGCACTGAAAGAAGTCATTTTCATGAATGCAACCGGTACAATCAGAATAGAACTGTGCGCTTGCTGCTGAAAATGGGGGCAGAACAATTATGGAAACGTCCTAAGTCCTATGATGCCAATTCATTTTCTTCTTCTTCTTCTTCTGCGTTCGACATCAGTCATGCTACACATTAAGTCCCGTCTGGGTCAAAAATAGGATTGTGCGTTTAAGGTTGCCACCGGTCCTCCATAGCTTCTCTCGCAATGTGGATCCCCTGGGCCAGATCCACAGTCTTTGCTGGGAGAGGTTAGGGCAGTGCCAATTCATAAATAATAACTCATAATTGATGTCATTTTCACCAGATATATTTATTGTACTCATTAAATGGTACTGAAAGCTACTAGTCAACACAATAGTTTGGGCTGTGTCCCCAGTTTGTGGAGAAATGTCAGTAATTGTTTCCTGCCACATACTGCTTTTGGTTGTTCGGTCTTCCTTCCACTTTTCCCTTGTGGACACACTACCTGAAAGTTTGACCACACTGAGATTGCAATATTTCAATCTGGACGGCAAACCAGCAGTTCAAATCTCACTTTCTCACTCCATTAAAAGGCAGCCTCAAACGAATAAGAAAGGAAATGATCAACTCATCTCATACTGCTGTAATCTTGTTTTGATTAAATCCCATCACTTTCATACCCAAATGATCTTATTTGCTTTGGACTTATAATGATCCTTGACTGTTAACTTTACATCCTTCGGAGTGGGGGTGCATATACCTGAGAGGCGAGGAACCAACAATCTGCATTGGATTAAGCCAGATCTGTAAAAGGGATGTGTATGCAAAACTCAAGTTTTAGAACAGGATCAAAGTTCAGAAGCGAATGAACAGCCAGAACTTTCTGCCAGAGTTTACCACCAGTGTGCGTTTAGAAGAAAAAGCCTGTTAATTAGAAAGAAAGAGGAATGTCACTGGGTGGCTTATGTCCTAATCTCTCTGACAGGTTGCAGAGAGTGAACAGCTGACATATACCGACCTGGTGAGGCAGTTGACAGAAGATCTGCTGACAGACCTGGAGAAAGTCAGGTGAGATGTTTGTATAGCTTCCATACCAATGGACACCCACCTGAGAGAATAAAACATGTTCAGGAAGTGGGACTATTCTAATATTTTGCTATCACAGCAACTGAAACCATAAAACTGGGCTATTCATCTGATGGCCCGTGGGCCAAATCTGGCCTGCAGAGGCCTAGCAAGTGGCCCACGGATCATTGCCAACTGTATTGTATTAATGATCTTTCTATGTTGGAGATCGGATCTCTGGTCCATGACAATCCACATTTTCAAAATGTTGGTCCTTCAGTAAACTTGGTTAAATAGCCCTGCCATAAAAATATAAGTATAGCACCATGTACCAGGGAGCCAACATGGCATAGTGGTTAGACGCTCACCTGCGTTTCAAAAGTTGTGAGTTCCGGACCTGATGGAGCCAGACTTTTTCAAAAATGATTCAAACTCCTAGGTCGATCCAGCCTTAAATGGGTACCAGGTAAAGTTCTGGGAAGTAAAGGCAGCGGTATGATTTTGTCCACATCACCTCTTAAGTGCCAATTGGTCTATAAAATATAGGTCTAGCCCTGTATGCCCAATTCGCTTGAAGGCCTGGAAAAGGATCCTTTACTTTACTTACCCTCTACCCAATACACCAACAGTGTACAAATGGTAATTCACTTACTTACCCTCTACCCAATACACCAACGGTGTACAGATGGTAATTCACTTACTTACCCTCTACCCAATACACCAACAGTGTACAGATGGTAATTCACTTACTTACCCTCTACCCAATACACCAACAGTGTACAGATGGTAATTCACTTACTTACCCTCTACCCAATACACCAACAGTGTACAAATGATAATTCACTTACTTACCATCTACCCAATACACCAACAGTGTACAAAGGGTAATTCACTTACTTACCCTCTACCCAATACACCAACAGTGTGTAACACAGTTAAGTCATTACTTGTTTGAAGGAAGTGGGTTATTACGCAGAGTTATGGTGTACTGAAAATCAACAAGTTTTGGCAGCCTTGACATTCCCTTTTCCAGAATCTTCTTTTCTCGCCAAAACAAGCTATTGAATCAAACTGATGTTGTCTGGCCTTGGCCTTCTTTCTAGAAGTTTTGAAATGCATTCTTTTCATCATGTGACCCAACATTGTCGTACTAGTGAATACCTTGTTGACGTGCCCTATCAAAGCAAACACAATTGTCCTTGTTTTTTCTAGAAGCTTCTATGACCTCAATTGTCAGTTTAACTACTATATCTGCGTAGAATAGGATGATGAAATCTGATGCAATCGAGATATAATTAGCAAATCCCATGTGAGAACGTAGATAGTAAACAAGTTTAGACGTACTAGAATATTCTAGAAGCGGACAAAGCGAGAAGAAAACAAATACCTAGCATTCCAGCATCCAAGTATAAATAGCGAGTAACAAAGCACTTTAAAAATTCTTCAGTCCACAAGACTCAAGAGAGGAGAGGCCAGTCACATGGGATCTCAAGACAGCCTTCAGTGGTAAAGATGTTAGCCCAACACTAGAAGCCTTTAGTCTTTGAGACTCAGAGGACGAGCGACTAGTCTGAATGATCCGCGATGCCAGCTCAACATTGGAAGCAGTGGAACCAGTCACATATTGAACTTCAAAGACAGTCACTGGAGTGCAGACATGACACGAGACATCGAGCTACAGATACGACACACAAGATACATGGATCCATTGAGAACAGAGACATATTAGGAACACTAAGAGATGTTAGGGTCAACGCTCAAGACGTTAGTACCAAACAGCACTAGAAGCCAGGTGGCAGTTAGAGACACTAGAAGCTAAGTAACCAGAGATGAAGAACACAACGCGACCTTAACATTACGTAACCATAGAGAGAACACAGCGCTATTCAGAATATCATTGATGTATTTGTGACATTGTTAAAATATCACAATAAAGACAGTATAGACAAGAACTGTTGTTTCCAGGCATTTTATTATACAAGCACCAGAGTCACGTGAGAAGCATGCAGCTAGCAAGACATCATCATCATAACCACTATCGACACAACCATCTTTCTCCTCGTCTATAATCTTCCAATCGACTCCTCCTGTAGCAAACCTAAGGACGAACCTGGGTGTGACATCAACATACGCAACGAAGAAGAGAGCTGTGCTACAAGTGTACAGATGGTAATTCACTTACTTACCCTCTACCCAATACACCAACAGTGTACAAATGGTAATTCACTTACTTACCCTCTACCCAATACACCAACAGTGTACAAATGGTAATTCACTTATTTACCCTCTACCCAATACACCAACAGTGTACAAATGGTAATTCACTTACTTACCCTCTACCCAATACACCAACAGTGTACAAATGGTAATTCACTTACTTACCCTCTACCCAATACACCAACAGTGTACAAATGGTAATTCACTTACTTACCCTCTACCCAATACACCAACAGTGTGCGAATGGTAATTCACTTCACTTACTTACCGCAAAGAACCGAAACCAGCTGAGACCCAGGCACATTTGGTGAGGTTTTAGTCTCTGAAATCACTTAGTATTATGAGGTGTGGGGGGGGGGGGGGGGGGGGGGGGGAGAGGTGGTGGCTCAAGGGACTTAAACCTTGTTATGGTCTCTCTCTCTCTCTCTCTCTCTCTCTCTCTCTCTCTCTCTCTCTCTCTCTCTCTCTCTCTCTCTTTCTCTCTCCATCTCTCTTTTACCTCCCCCCCCCTCCCCTCCCCCTTTACACACACAGAGACAGATTGCAGACCACTTAAGGCAGTCCCGGATGTGACAAATTTCGGTTGTGAAAAATAATTTGTTTATCCCCTGCAATTTTTCTTGCTTGAACTCTTATCTGGATAAGAGCAATTTTGGATAACAAGAACCATTCCTTTCATCCCCGGTGAGTTTTCTTCATCGGGTTTGTACTGATATATACATATATATGGTTGGAGGGTTGTGGAGCATCTTAGCTCCCTTAGAAATTTGAAGAGTGGGAGCTCATGAGACCTGATTCCTCCAGGGCCTGACACCCCTTGCAATGAACATAAGCAGTTTATGGTATCCCCTGCTTTGATCTGTCTTCACCTTTTAGTTTGCCTGCTTTAATTTTTGAAATTCTTAACTGTCAGAATCATAATTCAGTTTGATCATTCTGACTTCCACAGGGCAATATATCGCTGGATCTGTGTCAAAGACCTCAATGTGATGGAGTTTGCAGATAACCTGGATGCTGACACCCCTTTGGGACTTCTCAGAGGCATCAAATTTGGAACAGAGACGTACCATGTCTTATTCATGAGGTTATGCAGGTTGGTTGTAGACATTCATGTTGTAAAGATATAAACAGAATGTTAAAGAATACCAAGCATCAGAGCCTTTTAGGCATGCAAAGAAATATACTTGTGGAATGATGAGCCACCGGGCAGGAAATGATGATTTTTGTTTTAAGCAACGTCAAATAATAAAACTTACTTACTTAGTCAGTGCTCTTCTACCCTGGAATATAGATAAAGATTTCCCAGAAAAATCGCTATACTTCTCTATCTGCAATTTTGTTTTTGGTTGTGTTCCATTTTCCCCCCGCTATGGGACCCAGACTTATTAACCTCACTCCAAAGAAATAGTGAAAATCATAACTTATTTCTTAACACAGCAAAAACAAAGATAATGCATACAAACAAAACTGCCATGGAGAAGGAAATATATGTTAATGAGGAAAGATTGGAAGTGGTGGAAAATTTCGAATATCTTGGGTCACTGGTTACCAACAATGGTGACACAATGAAAGAAATTAAACGGCGACTATCAATTGCTCTTCAAAGACTAAAACAACTGAATAAATTATGGAATTGTACAGATAGAATTACAAAGGTCAGATTTTTAAGAGCATGCATCTTTCCCATTGCAACATACGCCTGTGAGACCTGGACACTTACTAAACAAGCGGAAACAGCGCATAAATGCATTTGAATATAAATGTTACAGACAGGTTCTAAGAATATCTTGGGTAAAGAAAAGAACAAATGCATCCATACTTCAAGAGCTGAATATTGAAGAGGGTTGGCTAGTAAAGACAATAAAACAAAGAAAATTGAAATATTTTGGTCACTTGAAACGTCATGGAGGTCTAGAGAGAACAATAATGGAGGGGTATATGCCTGGGAAGAGAGGAAGAGGAAGGCCAAGGAGAAGATGGGTGCAGGATGTGGCAGATGATCTCCAGATGGGTGTATCAGACGCAGGACATCTTGCTCATGATAGGAAGGTTTTCCGGAGGGTTGTTATGGCAGCGAGGTTCCGCGAGGGACATGCTACTGAATGAATGAATGAATGGGACCCAGAACCCACACTAGGAATTTATGGAGACAGTCTTGCAGAAAACATCAAAGAACATTGTGAATTGTAGATTTTTTTGTTAAACTGTATACAGAGAACTAGTGTATTGATACATTCAGTTAGAAATGTTAGTTTGGTTATCATTTCACTATTTTCCACATTGCCATCTTTCAGCTATGCTGGCCTGCACTGTGTGGAAATAAAGGGCCACTCTAAGAGTGTTGGCTACGAACCTGGCATGAAAATTATACCTGGAACATTCCAGAACACGTGGAATGCAGTTTTCATTGCCGGAGACTGGAGGTTGATTCAGTGTAACTGGGGTGCCAGGTAAGAACAGAAGATAAAAAAATACATTTTGTGAGTATAAACTTTTAATTCTGGGAAGGCTAAGCCAAACAACAAATGCCTCTAGAAGTCAGATTTGTCAGTTTCTTCTTCTTCTTCTTCTTCTTCTTCTTTCATCAGCTTGAAATAGATTGTCTATATCTGCAATGTTTTCTCTAGTATAAATTTCACTGTTTGTTGTAATTCACTCAGCGACCCATAAAGTTTGGCTTGCACCGGTGTTTCTCTTGGCCAAAAGATTCATCAGCTGGAATGCACAGATATCACAGCCATATTGTAAGCTGGCACAAAGCTATGACCTCTTTGGATGAATACAGAAGAAGAAAAAGAAGATGATGATGATGAGAAAGAAACTGTAAATTAGGTTACTACAGATGTGCTACATAATAACTGTGTGACAGAGTCAATCATTTCCAGGTCAGGTCACAGAACATAATGAATTAGGGTTAAACTGATTTGTCAGGTAAATGGTGCTTCACAGTGATAGAATGATAAAGTGGACATGTTGAAGGCTCTGTGGAATCACATGCACAACGCAACAGAACAGACAGCAGATCCATACACTGAAAGATTCATTAAACGTGGGGTGAGTAGTTTCTGTCATGGACCACCGAGTCTGGAAGTAAATCCACAACTTTCAGAGCTCAAGGCAAATGGCTCAGCCACTTTAGCACAGATCAATGACTCACCCTACAGACACCTTTGAATGTTGAATTGAGAATTTACATCATAGCACTCAGTGCACTCCCATAAGCACCCTGTCCCCATCTTCAGCAGCAAGTGAAGAGTTTCAATTCTGATGGCACCAGTAACTGTCTGATTGTCCTACAGACATTGATTAACAACATGGCAATAACCTGCAATAGAAGTTCTTGAACAAACAAGAAAAATATAATATAACCTCAGGCGGAAATTACTCTTTTAATAAAAATGTGTGGCCACTCTTTGATTTGTTTTTAACAAGAAATTGATGTAATCTGCATATTACAAAATTTGCAAGATAGAAGGTTGAAGATTTATGATGGAAAACAGAAGATGGAAGATACAAGATGGAGGATAGATGACGGCTAGATGTTTACCTTCCTGCCTCATTGTCTGGGGTTTGGATTCATAGAAAATTAATGATGGCTGCCGTGATGTTGATCACATGACCCACTCATCAAGTGATAATTGGTCCATAAAAATATGGGTCTGGCATCATATTCCTGAAGTAACAAGAGTGAAAAAGCTTCGTCACTTATTTTTATTTATTGCCTGCAGAAGTAGGATGTGTTGGCCAACACAGCAACCTTGCTGTAAACAGGCACAACACATGTACATCTTCTGAGGGAAATTTATGTTAGGACATATTCTTGGGTATTATTTATTTTCAATTAAACAACTTCCCTGTGCGGGTTCGGAGGCCTTTTATAGGGAAAACAAGAATAGACCCACTGCCTACCCAAAAGCATGTTGTAAGAGTCGACTTATTGGGAGCTTTCTTCTAAGTCGGAGTGTGTCTGCCTGAGAGGCAAGGAACCAGCAGTCTGCATACAAATGAGTCAGATCTGTCAAACAGATTTCCACGCATCCATTAGGCTCTGGAACAGGACTGCAGTCTAGAAGTGGATGAACAACCAGAACTTTCCGCCAGAGTTTACAGCTGGTGAGCACGAAGAAGAAGAAGAAGAAGAAGAAGAAGAAGAAGAAGAAGAAGAATGAAACAATTATCTGTGTGGTTTCCAGGGCTCCATTTTGGAGAACAAATAATAGACCCACTGCCTCCCTAACAAGCATGTCCTAGGAGGCGACTAATTAGGGGTGTTTCTTTCAGAGTCAGAATGTATCTGCCTGAGAGGCAAGGAACTAGAGTCAGCATACAAAAAAAGCCAGATCTGTAAAATGGATATGCACGCAAAACTCAAGTTTGAGATCAAGGCAAAAGTCCCGGGGCTAGACAGACATCCAGAACTTCCCCCAGAGTTTACAGATAATTGAACACTAAGAAAAAGCAGAAGGAAAAATATCTTTTTTAATTTAAAAAAGAAAATATGCAAATGTGTTTTTAATTTGCATCCAGACATCTTGTGCTCAGTAAAGACAAAGAGGAGAAAAGCAAGGGCAATGACAACATTCGATACCAGTATGACGACCACTATTTCATGACTGATCCTGATGAGTTTATACTAGAATTTTGGCCTCAAGACCCAAACTGGCAACTCCTGGAATCTCCTATCACTCTTGAACAGTTTGAAGAGTTGCCATTTGTCAGGTGAGCTGGCCAACAAGGTGCAGGGGACAGGGTTTTGTTGTTTAGCTTAGTCGTTATTTCTCGGGTCAACCCAGCCTTAAACGGGTACCAGATAAAGTCCTTGGAAGTAAAGGTGGTCGGTATATTATTGAGCACATTACCCACCAAGTTCCAGCAGGTCTAGCCAAATATGTACAATACACCTGAAGGTGTTGAAAAGGGTCTGTTTGTAAGGTTGTTATTACCACCTTGGGATTCAATATCACTACTGCGCTAATGAGTTTAGTGCTTGGTGTAGCCCTGGGAGCTGTTTTATCACATGAAATGCCTTTTATTTGGTCAGCGGTTGTGTCATGGTAACAACATCTATTTGAGAATGGAGGTGAAGGCAGTCACTGCTGCCTTCCGCTGGCTTCAGAATCAGCTGTACACACATGCCATGATTGTTACCAGGTACTGGGTTCGTTGCCAGCTGTGGGTGATTTGGCTGGAACTGAGATATTGTGAGTCGACTATTCAGCAAGCACTGGCAAACATCTGAGCATAAAATTGCCTAGTGTAGCCACAAAAAAGCCAAGAAATGCTGAAGTTGGTTCTGCAACTTCCTGTAAAGGATACACGACAAACTTTTTTTTTCCATTATGAAAAATAGGCACCAGGAAATGTTGTGGGAAGTAAAGATGGCCAGCATGATAGTGACCATATCATCCATCATATATAATGCTAAATACAACATAAAAATGCAACTAGAATGCAGCTGATTGTTTCGACCAAAATCTGTGTCAGCAGATTACTTAATAGTTGGCTATGTGGCTAAGTCGATGTGAACGCTTCGTAATGCCAGGATGCCTGGTTCGATCCCAGCTGCGGGCCATGTGCCTTGCATTGGTTTCTACAGTGGTATCAAGAAAGCTGACCGTCCAGAAAGCAGTGGCAAACTACGGGACGTAAATTTGCCTAGAAAAACCACACAACAGCCAGGGGCTGCTGGGGTTGGTTCTGCAACGTCCTGTAAAGGATACGCAACTAACCAGATTACTAAAAACAACAAACTCTGATTGGAAAACTAAATGGACAAGACAACAGAGATTAAGTGCATGACTTGTTCACTGAGTTTTCCAGTCATATTGTGTGTTGTATTTAGTTTTCCGCTGTTAAAGACTTTTGAAACAGTCTGTTGTATTTGTGTGTCTTTATCATTCCCTCAGCTGAGGTTTCTGGTCACATTTTATGTTGTATTTAGCACTCCTTGTCATCACACTGCGGTTGCTATGGCTGGCCCAGTACTGGACAGAAGAGATGTTATCACTGCCATGCGCTGCACTTACCGTACCAAGGAGCACGACAAAGGACATGACTAGACTGATGGACATGGGGGTGCAGACTGGAGCTGCAAGAAATGAACATTTCACTAAAGGGGCAACACGTTTCATTAACCAACATAGAACAGGCATCATCGGTCGTTTTACACTTGTGGAGCTTTTGAGGAGGAGATCGGAGCACCTATGAATCTGTCCAGAGTGCTGTGATAATCCTTTCTAATCACTAATCACTCTTTGTCATCAGCCATGAATGTAATCACTCCCTATTTGCATCAGCCACTACATGTTGACTGGTCTGTAAAATGGCGAGGCTGGCACCATTTGCCAGTTAGCCTTAAGTTGTGGAAAAAGTTGTTTACCTTTTTTTTTGCTTGTACAGTGTTGAAAAATAAATTCCTTTGATTGTCTTTTGCAGATCAGTCTTCTTTCATTATAAGATGCGTTTTGACGGGCATAAGAAAGCTGTGATCAAGACAGACAGCAAAGGTGGCGCTAGGATCACTATACGCGTCCCTGAGGAAAACGAAAATGATCTAGTGTTTTTTTACCAGCTTCGGTTTGCAGATAAAGAGAGATCTAAAGAGCAGACGTATAAAGGCAGTCTTCTGGAGCGGTATGTTTTTGAGACAATGGTCGACAACACAGTGACTTTCAGTGTTCACGTACCCACATCTGGCCTGTATTTTATGGAAATCTTTGCAAATAAAATTGACAACAGCGGTCGTGTTGAAGACGATAATGCAAATATTGCTCCATTCAAACTGAAATGTGCATGCAAGTTTAAGATAGTTTGTGAGAGTTTATCTGGCACAATGCACCCACTTCCGAACTGTGCACCAGGTGAGTGGGGTCCTAAAAAAGCACAAAGACATTTTGGAATTGTACCTGTGATTTCACCTGCATCAGAATTTGAGATGGAAAAAGCCGGTATGTTAACAGTGGAAGATCAGTTTGAGCTAAAGTTTCAAACTCCACAGCCATTTCAATTTGTTGCCAAGTTGAGAATGAATCATGTCGAGAGCAAAGTTTTAGATCACTATTTGAACTTATCAAGTCAGGGTTCTGTGTTGTCGGTGCATGTGTCATTGCCTCAGCCAGGCCAGTATGGGCTAGATATATTTGCCCGGCCAAAAGGAGCCGACAGTGCAACTCTGTCTCATGCTTGTAAATATCTCATTAACTGCACCAAAGTGTCCACTCTTGTTGATTTACCCAAGTCATTGTCTTTGTCTGCAAATAAGCGAGTTAAATGTGGCCCAACATCTGGCTTTGCAGAGATGGGTTTGCAGGTAATTTCACAGAAAGAAGCCAAAATCATTCTCGATAAAACAAACACAACCTCATTTGAGGTGAAAATCCCTACAGATGTTGTTCTTTCATACCAGTTCCTTCGAGAACCACACGAGGATAACAGGGACTATGTTCTTCAGACTTCTGAACCAAATGGAATTATCAAATTTACCATTTCTTTGCCCAAAAAAGGCAACTATATACTCAGTTTATATGCTCGGAAGGAGAACAGTGACAGCAGGTCAGCACCAAATGTGTATAATTGTTTAATTCAGTATACGCCAGGCTCTACTGAAGACCTTATGGATGCTGACAGAAAGTCTGCAGTTTTCAAAAGATCCATCTTTAAAAAGGCTGATAGCAAAGACGGATCTTCTGTAGACAAAACATTAGACAAATCTTCAGAAAAGTCTGTGTAGAAACAACAGCAAACAGAAAACAGCATATCCCCCGGAACAGACTGATAGTTTCACATTTAAAGTTTTAGCATTAAAAACGGGAAAAAATTTAATTTCGCACAATTGCTAAGAAAATAACTGTTTTATAGGCTCTTAAAGACATCATTTGAAGGACATCATTTGAAGGACATGTGTGAGATTTTCACATCTTATTTATATTTTTTATTTTTTAATTATTCTTCTTCCTCTTCTTCTTCAGCATTCCAGGCCCTTGAGGTTCATTGCTGCAGATATCACCTGCCTCCATTAATCTCTCTGGTTTGCTGACTCTTTCCAGTTGGTGATTCCAAGTGTTTGCAGGTCTGTCTGGACATTATCTCTCCAAATTCTTCTAGGTCTGCCTCTTGGTATACGACCATTCATCTCCCTTTTGTGTACAGTTTTTTTTTATTTATTCTTTTATTTAATATTTGGTTTAATCATTTTATTTATGGTTTTAAAAGGTTGTAGTAACATTTTTATACACAAACTATTTTAAAATTAATTTTTGTTTTGCTATGCTTATAAGCTTTTTGTGTGCATGTGTCATCTACACAGTTTATGTAGAGTCTGCATTGGGGGATAGAAAGGCAGAAGAGAAGGGTCTGCCAAAAATGTATTAACATTTCAGCAAAAGAAACATCGGCATACAATTGCAATGCTAAATTTATACATAAATTTATACATACATCAGGGGTGACCTTTGACTTTTATGATTACATGGGGTATTCTAAGAGGTTACCTTTATCATTCAGACATTTTGTTTTTTTATGACAAACTACATCTTGTGCAATTTTGGTGACAGCATCTAGTAGAATTGCATTGCTTATTGTTTCACATGTCAGTATTTGTCATGTGTTAATCATGGTCATACGACCTATATACAACCAGACTACGACCGTAGCACCATTAGTATTGGAACTCTGCGCTGACGGCTGAGGATGGGGACGGAGCGCATATGGGAATGCCCCGAGTGCTGTGATGTGAATTCTTGACTCAACTCAACCCATGGTCATTTGTGCTAGTATTTCTATAAGTAGGAACATCTACTGAGAAAACATTATAGTACATTTTTAAAAAACAAAGTAAAGGTCCCTTTTCCATGCCATTAGGCATATACGGCATATAGGGCTAGACCTATATTTTTATGGACCAATCGGCACAAGATGGGTGATGTGGTCAGCATCACGCCAGCCGCCTTTACTTCCTGGGACTGCACCTGGTACCCACTCAAGGCTGTTTCGACCTGGGAGTCAAGGTCATTTCTGAAAAAAGTCAGGCTCCGCCAGGGAACGAAGAACCCATGACCTTCTGATCCGCAACGAGCGTCTAGCCGCTACATTACAGCGATCCCTTATAGTACGTTACTGTACCATAATTCCATCTAACTGTGAGAAAACAATATGCTAAATACTCTACCATACTTCCATCTTACTTATTGACTTAATTGATCCTCTTCTTCTGCCCTGGGGTGTAGAGGTTTGCTAGAGAGATCATCAGATTTCTCTATCATCAGTTTTCCTTTTGGCTTTGTTCCATTGCAGTCCCCTGTCAGTCCCAGATGTCATCCCAAACCATTGAAAATATGACTGATCCACTCAAGTCTGTAAGGCATGGGTTTCATTATTAAGACACACATTGTCGGGCTGCGAACTTTGTCCCGTTTTGCCACATGGACCGCCTTTCTCCTATCTGAGGCACAAAGCTGGCTTCGGTGAGCAGTTGTCATTGCACAAGACTCACACCCGTAAGTTAGGACTAGCACATAAGTAAGCAGTAAAACAGCCACTTTCATTCTCTCGCTAATTTCTCTTTTGCCGCGAAACCCTTGGTTTATGGTCTGTAAATGTCTCCATACTTCCATCTAACTTGGACAAAACTCTACCTGTTAGAGTATCTATACATATTTTAGTTGATTCTGTTTAGGAGTATGCATATTTCTTAGTAAGCTGTGTTTTTACTCAATATATGTCAATTTTACCACCAAAACTTGATTTTTATTTAAAAAGGACTGTTAATAAAATATTGGTATTGATTTTAACCTTATTTACGTTTATATCATTTCTAGTTAATCTCATTTGTATCATTTTATACATCTATATATATTTACTTCTTCTTTGCGTTAACTGGCTGCACACCCAGTGGAATTTTCTGGTTGTTCGTCCACTTCTGAATTTTAGCGGTGTTCCAGAGCTTGAGTTTTGAGTGTACACCCGTTTTACATATATATATATATATATATTTATATAATTGACATTATGCTTCTCGGCCCCATGTGGGATGTAATTTTTAGTTATTTTAAAGCCCCTCCCCCCCCCCCCCCCCCCTTCCGGGCTTTTCCCGGTGGCCCTAAATATGGCCTAAAGGCTGAACGAGGTTTCTGGGACCTCTCCACAGGTGATCCTCATCCACATGGTGGCACTATGTGTCACCAGGTGTTTATTGCTTTGTATGATGTCCTGGTGAAGTACAACTTACATAAATACATATGACTTCACATGTGTAATTTCACAGAAATCACTCTACACATACCAGTGAAGATATAATGGCAGCTGATACACTATTTTTGATGATACATTTATGCTGTAAATTTTTAAACATTGTATTTATTTCATTATAAAAAAACTGTGTTTTCAACAAGGTTTGATATTACTTTTGAAATTCCAAACATGTACACTATATAACTAAGGATCCTTTTCAATGCCATCAGGCGTACAGGGCATATGGGGCTAGTAAGTCAAGTGAAGATCTCTTTTCATGCCTTTAGGCGCATCGGGCATATGGGACGAGCACCCATATTTTTACAGACCAATCGGCACTAGGTAGGTAATTTAGTCAGCATTACGCCAGCCATCTTTATTTCCCCAGGACAGTCATCCTGGTACCCATTTTAGGCTGGGTGGACCTGCGATGCCCAATACCATGATAAAAATCTATGCAGCCAGCATTTGGTTTTGATCACGGTATGTTGGAATTAAGTGTCAAACACACAACGCCTCAGCCACGGACGCCACCATATGGGGCTAGGCTTATATTATATAGACCACTTGGAACTTGATTGGTGATGTGGTCAGCATCAAACCGGCCACCTTTACTTCCCAGGAATTTACCTGGTACCCATTTAAGGCTGGGTCGAGCCAGGGACATTTTTGAAAAAAGGCCGGACCTAAACCCATGACCTTCAGGTCCACGGGTGAGTGTCTGGCCGCTACACCATGGCGATTCCTTGTAGTCATCATCGCTGTCATCACGACATTCCTGAAAGAAACTCAGTCCTTCGCCAGCTCTTCCATCTTCAAACTGATCAACCCCTGCCCATCTTTCCCAGTGCTATGCCCTCCGCCACTGTTCTTACCAAACCATCATTGTGCTTGATATGGCCAAAGTATTTCAGGGTTCTTTCGTAATATCCTAACCCAGATGATGTCACAAGACAGTCCAACATTTCAGAGGGTGGTAAGACTGGGTTTCCCGGCTTTCTGATGCTTTTCATTATCTTGAAACATCTAGAACTGATCCTAACCCTAACCCAACTATGTCCCATGACAGAGTGCAGCCTAGGTCCCATAACTGCATGCAGCCTGTCTACCACCCCCTGAAATATTACAGTGTCCCGTGACCTGTTGACTTCCCCTGTTTGGGGTAGGATATTAAGAGAGTACCGCATTTCAGTTTCCAAGACATATGTAGTAGTTGTAATTTAAATGATACCCATTTAGATTTATAATTAGAATATCACCATGTGATGATTGCTTAGACCAGACTGCATATGAGACTTTTTACAGTAGAACATCTGGGAGAAAGGTGAGAGGAAGACCAAGAAAGAGATGGATAAATGGTGTAGCTGAATCCTGCAGAAAGTTGAACAAATCCATCACCCAAGCCACCCGAGAAGCCCAACACAAATATAGAAAACCAAGGCACTGGGCTACACCTGGTATCAGTGGGACAACAAAACCACCACAATAGGTTACAACCTGGTATCAATGAGACGACAAAACCATGACACTGGGTAACAACCTGGTAGTGAGACGACAAAACCATGACACTGGGTTATAACCTGGTAGTGAGATGACAAAACCATGACACTGGGTTACAACCTGGTATCAGTGATATGACAAAACCATGACACTGGGTTACAACCTGGTATCAGTGGGACAACAAAACCACCACAATAGGTTACAACCTGGTATCAGTGAGACGACAAAACCATGACACTGGTCTACAACCTGGTATCAGTGATATGACAAAACCATGACACTGGTCTACAACCTGGTATCAGTGATATGACAAAACCATGACACTGGGCTACAACCTGGTATCAGTGATATGACAAAACCATGACACTGGTCTACAACCTGGTATCAATGAGACGACAAAACCATGACACTGGGTTACAACCTGGTAGTGAGACGACAAAACCATGACACTGGGTTACAACCTGGTACTGAGACGACAAAACCATGACACTGGGTTACAACCTGGTAGTGAGACGACAAAACCATGACACTGGGTTACAACCTGGTAGTGAGACGACAAAACCATGACACTGGTCTACAACCTGGTATCAGTGATATGACAAAACCATGACACTGGGCTACAACCTGGTATCAGTGATATGACAAAACCATGACACTGGGCTACAACCTGATATCAGTGATATGACAAAACCATGACACTGGGCTACAACCTGGTATCAGTGATATGACAAAACCATGACACTGGGCTACAACCTGGTATCAGTGATATGACAAAACCATGACACTGGGCTACAACCTGATATCAGTGATATGACAAAACCATGACACTGGTCTACAACCTGGTATCAGTGAGACGACAAAACCATGACACTGGGCTACAACCTGGTATCAGTGATATGACAAAACCATGACACTGGTCTACAACCTGGTATCAGTGATATGACAAAACCATGACACTGGTCTACAACCTGGTATCAGTGAGACGACAAAACCATGACACTG